GCAGATGCTTGGTCCAAATTCCATAAAATATACCAACCAGTAGCGCCACACTCAGACGAAAATGTACAAAGCCTATTCTTCCACTATTTGTATTCCCACAGTATTCACCAAGCCAGCCCATGCTTTAATATAGATATTATGGATATTGTTATAATTCCTGCTGTCTTTTGTGAACTTCTAATTATTTGTAATTGTTCTGTTCCACAGATGCTGTAGTAAACCACCATCCAGGGACCAAGACATCAGATATAAGAACATCCATTAACACAAGAATTTGTGAGTAAAGGCACGAAAAAAACAAGATTGACGATCAAATAGGGTACAAGACTGTTTTTTTGGCCCTGTTCCGGACCTTGTTTTAATGAGTGATCAGCTCATGTTTAAAGTTGTCACCAGTTGAAACAAAAAACAAGATTGTTAAATAGGATAACAGACTGCTCTTTTTGGCCCTGTATGAAATAACAATGCATCATTTATTAACTATACCTATACAAAATGTAATACATTTTCCCTTCATTATGTAATAACAACTCCTTTTGTAATAATTTGCCCATTATGTAGTAAACAAGTTCAATGCAAATATGTAATACATGTCGCCACATTTTGAAATATATTATTACATATTGCTGTGGTTATTACAAAATGAGTTGCAAACAATAACATTACAACTGTTTATTTATTTATTCAACCATGAATCATCCTTACTCATAATTTAAAAATATTTCAGTAGAATATCTTTCATTGGCCAAAACTAGATCAAGTGTTACCATATTCATTAGCCAACATGTATATCAACATCAATTTTGGGATATATTTACAGTTTGGTTATGGTTACATAATGAATATTACAGTTTTTTTAAAAGGGCAACTCACGCATTTTGTAATAACCATTGCAAAATGTAATAATTTATTACAAAATGCAGGGAAATTTATTTTATATTGCGTTCAGGCTGTTACAGAATGCAGCAGATTATTACAAAATGTGGGTTTTATTACATAATTACATGAAAATGTTCTTGAGTCATTACATAATGTGTTGTTTATAGGCCTTTTCTTTTATTCTTTCCTTGTCCTTCTTTTAATGAGTATTTTGATAACTGTTACACATTGATAGAAAAAAACAAATTAAGCTTCTCATTATTCAGACTCAGCTCTCAGCGCTTAAGCTTCTTTTAAATGTTGATAAAACCAAGGTAATGCTCTTTTCAAAAACTAAAAAGACACCAGAGCCTGTTTTAGATATTGTAACTACGCAAGGGATAAAACTTGAAGTGGTTACCTGTTACAAATACCTTGGTATCTGGCTTGATGATTGTCTCACTTTTAAACTTCATGTCAATAACCTGCTTAAAAAACTGAGGGTTAGGCTAGGTTTCTTTTCCAGGAACAAGTCCTGTTTCTCACTTGAGGCCAGAAAAAGGCTAGTCACTGTGACCTTTTGACCTGTGCTGGACTATGGTGATCTGATCTATATGAATGCACCTGCCAATTGCCTGGTCAAGTTAGATGCCGCCTATCACAGTGCACTGAGATTTGTGACAAACTGTAAAGTATTAACCCATCACTGTACCCTGTATGCAAGGGCAGGTTTGCCTTCACTAACTGTACGGAGGCTCAGTCACTGGTACATTTTTATATACAAAGCCATGTTAGGGAAACTTCCTTCCTACATCTGCTCCCTGATCTCACGGCGAATTGTAAGTGGCTACTGCCTGAGATCGAATGCTGTGGTTTTATTAAATGTGCCAACTGCTAGGACTGTCTTAGGGAAGATAGCATTTAGATGCGCAGCTCCGCTAACTTGGAACAGTCTGAGCAATTTGGTTCCACTAAATGTTTTTAAAGCAAGGATAGATGCTATCCAATCGGAAACTGTTGGAACCTGTAAATGTTACTAGCTATGTAAACTGTAGTCACTGTAAATATGCTGTATGATGTCCTTTTTTGTTTTTCTGTTATGTTTATATGTATTCATGTGGAACCTACTTGCAGCAGGTCACCCTTGAAAAAGAGATCAATGATCTCAATGGGATTCACCTGCATAAATAAAGGTTTGAAATTAAATGAAAGATTTTTTTTATCAGAACATGCATTTCTCCTCATTGTGAACATATATTGCACTCATGTTCAGAATATATGGTACGTACATGGTCTTTTATAAATCTGAATATATATAGTGCATACATGTCCCCATATAATTGTGAATATATTCTGCATACATGTCCCCATATAAATCTGAATATATAGCGCATACATGTCCCCATATATTTGTGAATATATATAGTACATGTCCCCATATAATTGTGAATATATTCTACATACATGTCCCCATATAAATCTGAATATATAGTACATACATATCCCCATATATTTGTGCATATATATAGTACATGTCCCCATATAATTGTGAATATATTCTACATACATGTCCCCATATAAAACTGAATATATAGTACATACATATCCCCATATATTTGTGAATATATATAGTACATGTCCCCATATAAATGTTAATATATAGTAAATGTATGTTCACATATATACACAACCAATATATTATATATATTTACATATATTACTCAATATATGGAAAGCGGCAATTACTGATGTATTATCCCATATATTACAATATATTATCACAATATATTATTCAATATATATATATTGTAATATATTAACACAATATATTATTCTATATATCTTCAATATATTTTCAATATATTTTGTAGATATGAATAAATATGTTTTTCATGTTGATTATTAATCAGTATCACTTGGTGTAGCCAACAGCAAGATTTCCTTTATTAAATCTTTTCAATTAACCAGTAAATCAGAAAACAAAATAATGCAATATATTGACAGTTAATATATGGGGAAATATATTTTCTTTGCGTAAGGGGTCCCTCCTTGGATCACTCCCTTCATGTCCTCCTCGTCTTAAGGACTGTGTTCACCGTAGTGATGGTGGCTCTGCTGCTGTTGCTGGTGGGACTGCTGCATTGTGGGAAACTCAGGGTCACACAGAAATAACTCATGTAAAAAGATCAGAGTTTGGTTATCAAGATAAAGAACACCACGAGCCGAGGACATTATCACTTTCTTCAGCGTTGTATCTCTTCTTCTGCTCAGGTTGTGTGTGAGGTGTGTAACTTCTCTGTGTCACATGATGGTACGAGCAGCAGCTGCTAGACTTTCTCACACTCAAGACAAAGTTAAAAACCACAGAGATACTGACTGGAATGCATTTATTTTAAAAGGCGAGATGAGTGTATGTTGTTCTGAGTTTTATTTTAGACTACAGATACTTTCAGCTTCTCAGACACAACCCACAGACATTTTTTTTATTTAAATGTATGTGAATATGTAGAAGAGGCTTTTAGGAGGCTTTGTAGAAACAGCAAAACGTTCACAGTTTCATGACGTAACTTAAAGGTTAAATTGAGTAATATATATTAGGAAATATAGGAACACAATTGTAATTAAGTTAAACAAAATACTTCTTCAGCCTCACCTTTTTATTATGTTGTCTTTGTAAAAATAGCAAAAATGAACCCAACAGTGACAAAAATATGACAATATAACATAACTCTGTGGGTTGAACATGATAATTCCTGCAAGCACGGTAGCATTGTCGCTGTTAGCATTTTAGCATTTTAGCATGCTACATTTAGCCTATAGCTCCAGCTGTGCAGCCTCACTGAGCTGCTAACATAACTGTGCTAAAAAAAAAAAAACAACCAGACTCATCTTAACAGTTCATTTTAATAAAAAACAACAAACATTTGAATGAACACAACTGATTTAGCAAACATATATTTCACAGATACCGCTAAAAAAAATAATATGTAAATTGTAAGTAGCACCCCAAAAACATACATGGAAGTTGGTATTTCCCAAAGCGAACATTATCAAAGCTGCACATCAGCTTCTGAACCTATCAATATAAAACACAATTTCAAACATTTCCATTTCTGAGATTTCTAAATTATAATTTTTTTACGAAAAGAGTAGATTTTCAGTAAAATATAAAAGCAGTGGCCATCAATCAAAGGAAGATCTGTTTACCACAAAACATGTTTTAAATTGTTGAATATCAGAATAATAAAAGTGTGTCTGTAAATGGTTGATCTCCTCGTCTTCACTGAGCGTCACAGCAAGCTGTGTTTGAGCAGGAAGTCATGCTGTTCCTGTTTATAATGTTTATAATGAGGAACTTTCTCTCATGACTCATCTCATCTCAGATTGAGGTACTTCCTGAAACTCCTGCTTTATGTGTTTTTGCAATTGAGAGTTTATTTGAAACTTCTAATAAAAGTGGAGTAAGATCAACAGAGCAGAACAGAGGAGGTGCATTATTCTGTTTAAGTGGATGTCATACAGCGTTCATATTGCATCTTTCCAGTGTCGGTTTCGAGGACGAACTTCAGTCTGTCTCCAGAGCTCCAGGGCTTCAGGTCCCACCACTCCAGCTCAGTGTCAGAACTATTGTGAACATGACCTGGAACCCACATCTCTAAAATACAAAATCACAGATTTACAAGCAGAATCATTAAATTATGAAATAATGAAAATAATAATGTATGTTGTTATATATTCTTATGTTTTAACAAATAATTCAGTTCTGAATGAAACAAATAAGAAAAGGAAACAATTAACATAAAGTGAGAAATCAAGAAAAGACTAACAGTGACAGTTTTCCAGCCTTGAGGTTGAAACATTGATTACATTTGTACATGATAAATGTGTTAATGTCGTTAACATGCAGATTTAACACCCAGTGTTTCAGCTGCTTGTCCTGCAGGAAGTTAAATAAGGGGAGGGAGGGAGAGATTAACAAAATGAATGTGATATCTTAACCCACTGGGTTTGTAGATGACATGAAAACAAGTGAAAATGGATTTTAGGATAATCAACAGATCATTATCTTGGGTTGCAGAATGTATCCACACAAACAACATTACCTCAGTGGAAGTGTTTCTGAGACGGATGAATTTACCATGTTAGTTGCTCTCCATATTAAATCCTGAGTCAGAGGTCTGATTCTCCGAGCTGAAGCTCTCCTGCACAGTTTGTACCTGAGAGGGAGACGATACACACAATACTCTTTGAAAATACTAAGCTGTTTATCCGTGTGTGTGTGTGTGTGTGTGTGTGTGTGTGTGTGTGTGTGTGTGTGTGTGTGTGTGTGTGTGTGTGTGTGTGTGTGTGTGTGTGTGTGTGTGTGTGTGTGTGTGTGTGCCTTTGTTATTAGCTGGCTGTTCATTTAAACAGATTCCTTTGATTTAAATCAGACACAAAATGCATTCCAATGTATATGAAAGTACGTCTTATTGGACTTTATAAAATGCTTTGACCTAAACAATCAGTAATGTCCCTGTTGGAAATCAAACGTGAATTATTCCTTATTAATTGTAACTACAGAGCTTTGTGCTGATTACTTTATTTCATCATCTTAATCAATAGTTCATTTTATTTGTACTTATATATTTGTAATGATCAAATTAAGCAGTTTTTTAAACTTTAACAAACTAATTGGTGGAAACTAAAATCATCAATGAAAGATGAACCTCTGGTGTCTCCATCAGCTCCTCTTCCCTCTCCTCCTCCCTCCTCCTCCTCTCCTCCTCTCCTCCTCTCTGCAGATCAGCCTGTAGTCTCTCCACCTGAGAGGAGACACAGACAGAAGAAGAGAGACCTCCAGATAAACTCTTTATAGCTGGACTTTCAGACGGAGACAAGTCACAGAGCTGTCTTTGTGTTTCAGTCAGAGGAGAAGAGTGAGGAACAACCTGTGTGTGTGTGTGTGTGTGTGTGTGTGTGTGTGTGTGTGTGTGTGTGTGTGTGTGTGTGTGTGTGTGTGTGTGTGTGTGTGTGTGTGTGTGTGTGTGCACCTCCTCCTTCAGTTCTCTCTCAGCTTCCTCTCTTCCTCTCTTCTCCTCCTGGAGCTTCTTCTCAAACTGAGATGTAAAGAGAGATAAAGACAGTGGAACTTTGTTTAGTGAACATATTATCCTGTTCTGCATCACATTTTATCCCACAGGAAAATAAATACTTTACTGTGACACAGTGTCACTCCAGTTGAACCCATTTGGTGTCTAAGATTTTCTTCACTGGTTATTTTAATCAGTTTGGACATATGTAAAAGATAAGATGGAAAATAAATGTCCCAGGAGGAAACTAAAGATTATCCTCCTGGGTTTCACAGCTTCTTCTTCTTCCCTCTAAATGTGTCAATGTATGGCGTGTGTGTGTGTGTGTGTGTGTGTGTGTGTGTGTGTGTGTGTGTGTGTGTGTGTGTGTGTGTGTGTATGTGTGTGTGTATAATGTCCGGATGAATCAGCTGATGATGTTCAGATATTTAGGCTGAAGTTTTATCACTGAGTTCACAGGATGTAATCACAGGAGGAAAAGTAATCTATTACACCAGCAAACATCAACACAGTGATGACTGAGAAATACAGTTAGAGAGAAAACAGCACAGGTCCGCTAGCTGACAAACAGACAGTTTTCTTTGATTAAAATGAAACACAATATTTGCAATTAAATTGACGTGAAATGTTGCCTTTTTGGACTTGAAATAATAATAACAATTCTAACAGAAATGCAAAAAAATCACTAATGTCCCTGTTGAACATCAAACATGAAATATTTCACATTCAGTTTAATTACAGAGCCCTGTGCTCATTTCTTTATCCCTTTCCTTTTATCAACAGCTCCTTTTAGTTACACTAATATCGTTTTTATGATCAAATAAAGCAGTTGTTGTTAGATTTAAACTTTTAACAAACAAATAGGTGAAAGGTAAAATCATCAATAAAAGATTAACCTCTGTTGTCTTTGTCTCCAGCTCCTTCTTCAGCTCGTCTTCACTCCTCTGCTTCTCCTTTTTGAGCTTCTCAACATTAGCTAATAGTTCATCCGCCTGAGAGGAGAGAGAAGATGAGACAACTTTCTGATTAAGGTAAGAGAGTATGAGTTAAAAGACTCTTGAAATGACAGATTTGAGCAGCATTTTTAGAGCACAGTTGTGTCTTTGTCTGTAAGTTGAAGAAGTGATGATCCGTTGTTCAGTTTGTTGTGTGTGTGTGTGTGTGTGTGTGTGTGTGTGTGTGTGTGTGTGTGTGTGTGTGTGTGTGTGTGTAAACCTTGCTCTCCATCTCTCTCTTGAGGTCCTTCAGTGCTTCCTCTCCTCTGCTCTTCTCCACCAGCAGCTCGTTATACTGAGGAGAGAAGCAGAGGAACAGTAATGTAGGATGAGAGCTTCAGCCAGATGAGAGGTGAGAGAATTAACTCTATTACACCAGCAAACATCAACACAGTGATGACTGTCAGAGAAATACGGGGGGGGGGGGGGGGGTAGGACACGTTCAAGTCTTGATTTGGATCGTGTGATGTCGATGGGTTTCATTCCATTTCAAAGTGCTGTTTGACGCCGCACTGCCACTCCAACATCCAATCACAGAGTTTGAGAACTAATCACGGGGTTTGTCAAACAGAGCACATGGTGTAGTCCTAAACAATAGCTGGGGATTCTGGGTAGTGTAGTGTCTTCTGCCATCTTAAACTCCGAAAAAATATTTGTTTCTCCGAATCGAAGGGGAAAAACACAAAAGCATTGCACACAATTTAAACCAATCAATGTTGTGTAATTAACAAGATAATCTGGTGTTTTTGAGTTGATGAGTAGTGGAGATATCTCTGTCAAATCAATCGACAGTAAGGGGAAAACTTACTTCCGGGTGTACAATCCTCCGTTATCCAATGGGAATGGACGCTCACATTGTCTTTAAACAACCGCCGACATAAACGAATGCGGTGCTTCCCTGAGCGTCAAATACCGCCGCAGATGGGAATACATTTCAATCAGTTGAAAGCTCTTTGCGTCCGTTTATGAAGCTGAAGGAGCCTCGGAGCGTCACAACTGCACGCCTCGGGACCCTGACCAAGCGTCGCTCCTGGACGCTTAGGGAGTGAGAGTGTGTTGGTTTGTGTGTGTGTGTGTTTGTATGTGTGTGTGTGTGTGTGTGTGTGTGTGTGTGTGTGGTGTTGTGTGTGTGTGTGTGTGTGTGTGTGTGTGTGTGTGTGTGTGTGTGTGTGTGTGTGTGTGTGTGTGTGTGTGTGTGTGTGTGAGAGAGAGAGAGAGAGAGTGTGTGTGTGTGTGTGTGTGTGTGTGTGTGTGTGTGTGTGTGTGTGTGTGTGTGTGTGTGTGTGTGTGTGTGTGTGTGTGTGTGTGTGTGTGTGTGTGTGTGTGTGTGTGTGTGTGTACCTTTGTCTTCTCTCTGCTGTTCTCCTTTCTCTGGATATCCAGTAGACTCTGTGTCTCCTTCAGCTGGTTCTCAAACCTCCATTGGTCGACTGCTTTTTGGTCCGATAGCTGACAAACACACAGATGTTTAAAATCAAAACATGAATTCATTGATATAGTTTGGAAAAAAATAACATCTTTTTTTGAATACCAAAACCTGAGTAATGTCCCTGCAGGATATAAAACATGAAATATTTAATATTCAGAAAGTTGAAAAGTCGATAAAACCCAGTTGCTTTATTTCATATTTAAATGTTGACTCTTTGTGCTGCCGATGTTGTCCCACATTTAAATGAAGCAGTAATTATGAGATTTAAAGTGAAAACAGACAAATAGGTTTAAAATAATCATTATCATTATTAATAAAAGATGAACCTCTCTTCTCTTTGTCTCCATCCCCTCCTTCATCTCCTTCTTCATCTCCTCTTCCCTCCTCCTTCATCTCCTCTTCCCTCCTCCTCTTCTCCTCCTTCATCTCCTCCTCTCTGCAGATCAGCCTGTAGTCTCTCCACCTGAGAGGAGACACAGACAGAAGAAGAGAGACCTCCAGATAAACTCTTTAGAGCTGGACTTTCAGACGGAGATAAGTCACAGAGCTGTCTTTGTGTTTCAGTCAGAGGAGAAGAGTGAGGAACAACCAGTGTGTGTGTGTGTGTGTGTGTGTGTGTGTGTGTGTGTGTGTGTGTGTGTGTGTGTGTGTGTGTGTGTGTGTGTGTGTGTGTGTGTGTGTGTGTGTGTCTGTGTGTGTTGTGTGTGTGTGTGTGTGTGTGTGTGTGTGTGTGTGTGTGTGTGTGTGTGTGTGTGTGTGTGTGTGTGTGTGTGTGTGTGTGTGTGCACCTCCTCCTTCAGTTCTCTCTCAGCTTCCTCTCTTCCTCTCTTCTCCTCCTGGAGCTTCTTCTCAAACTGAGATGTAAAGAGAGATAAAGACAGTGGAACTTTGTTTAGTGAACATATTATCCTGTTCTGCATCACATTTTCTCCCACAGGAAAATAAATACTTTACTGTGACACAGTGTCACTCCAGTTGAACCCATCTGGTGTCTAAGATTTTCTTCACTGGTTATTTTAATCAGTTTGGACTCAGCAACAAATCGACATCCTATGGGGAGGCTGTGGCTCAGTGGATAGTGGGCTGGAGTTCGAAGCAGGGGATAGCAAGTTCAAGTCCCACTGCAGTCAGCATGTTGTTGTGTCCCTGAGACACTTCACCCCAAATTGCTCCTGTGGGGATTGTCCACAGTACTGAATGTATGTAAGTCGCTTTGGATAAAAGAGACTAACAAGTGACATGTAATGTAATGTAATATGTAAAAGATAAGATTGAAAATAAATGTTAGAAAACTAAAGATTATCCTCCTGGGTCTTGACCAGCAGCATTTCACAGCTTCTTCTTCTTCTTCCCTCTAAATGTGTCAATTGATGGTGTTTTTATGTGTGTGTGTGTGTGTGTGTGTGTGTGTGTGTGTGTGTGTGTGTGTGTAAACCTTGCTCTCCATCTCTTCCTTTAGGTCCTTCAGTTCCTTCTCTTTACTGGTCATCATATCTCTGAGCTTCTCGTTACATTGTGGGGGAGCAGAAGAGAAACAGTAATGTAGGATTAGAGCTTCAGCCTAATGAGAGGTGAGAGAATGAACTCATGAGGAAATGTAATCTATTACACCAACAAACATCAACACAGAGATGACTGTCAGAGAAATACAGTTAGAGAGAAAACAGCACACTGAGTGGAGCAGTGTGTGTGTTTTACTGGACACTGGCAGCCATATTTATATAGCAACAAGTATACAGTATATGAGAGGAGATACAGACAGATTACAATTAAATACCTTTAGACAGTTTTATAGTGGAAATGTTAGCATGTGTGTGTGTGAGTGTGTGTGTGTGTGAGAGTGTGTGTGTGAGTGTGTGTGTGTGAGTGTGTGTGTACCTCCTTCTCCTTGCTCTCCAGTTGACCCTGTGCCTCCTTCAGCTGTTCATTAGTCTTAATAAATGATAACAAAATATACATTCAGCTGTTACTTTTCCTCATTTCATTTGAACTGATGATTTTGGTTCAGCGGTCACAGTACCTCTTATTGATCGCAAGCAGGAGTAAGTTCATTGTGAATGACTTTCAGAAGAGAAAACAACACAAACCTCTCTGTTGTTTTGCAGCAGCTTCTCCTCCAGGACGTGAACTTCTTTCTCAGCTCCTTCCCTCCTCTGATGCTCCTCCTCAAACTTCTGTCTGGAAACCAGCGGCCATTTTAACTGAAAGAGAGAGGAGACGATGACAGAAATGTTTTGTATTAGAGAATGTGTCTGAATGCACAACAACATGACCATTATTACATATATCTTAGGGTTGGTTTCCTGAGAAATGTGCAAGTACAGTAACCAAATAGCTCTAAAGGTCAAATGTACGCTTCTGTCTTCAGCAGCTCTTCTTTACAGCCCTTTATCATAAACAGCTTTATGTACATCAGAAAACCTTAAGAGAGTAATGATTGTACTTCTAAGTAACTACTTGCCGAAGAAGAGGAAGAAGACTTGGCTTGAGCAGTTTCATTTCTTTCCAACTGCGGAGAAAAGGAGAGATTAAGAGAGACATGTTAATCTATTTTTACATTTTATTATCTTAAAGGTGGGGTAGGTAAGTTTGAGAAACCGGCTCGAGATACACTTTTTGTTATATTCCATGGAATGCTCTTAACATCCCGATAGCAATGAATATCTTAAGTGCTTTGACAAAAAATGTCATCTGTGGAAGCCGTAGTACTGTAAAAAGCACGACCAATCATCTGAGCCGGCCCGGCTAAAATAACTGGATGGCCTACCTGCCTGTCAGCCTTCCATCTGTGCACAAACTTATCTCGTGCCCTCATTGGTCATGTGCGCGTTCGTGTGTGTTGGAGGAGGGGCTCTGTAAGGAAGTAGCAGATTTCTTCCGGCTGTGTATTTTCAAATTCTAGCGATCTCGAGCCGGTTTCTCCAAAATTACCTACCCCACCTTTAACTTTTAAAATGATTGTTTGGCATGTTATTCTATGACCGTGTCCCTGTTTTCTGGGTCCCTTCTGAAATTCAGAAGGATACACATGAGGGCGAGACTGACTCCTTCAATGTGCAAACACTGAGAGGTAACCAAAGCTGGATTGACAGTAATCTACTCATAACATTAGTTAGTTATTAAGTGAACCACACACACACACACACACACACACACACACACACACACACACACACACACACACACACACACACACACACACACACACACACACACACACACACACACACACACACACACGCACACATATGCTTTCCTTGCATCTCTGGCAGATCCTCTATCTTCTTGTATAACTTTCATTACTTTCACCCAAACTGTTTTAAGGGTCTCTAAAGGTATTGTCTTGTTTCTTTACTTACCTGTTTGTTCTTCTTTTCCTCTTTTCCCTTCAAATCCTCCATTGGTACAGTGTCAGCTGTCATCAGCTGTCCTCCTTCTTCTTCAGTCACAAACTGACCTCTAGTTTTAGAGAGTTTCTTCTTTTCTCCTATATCAACTTCATCTAAATGGTTTCTCTTTTTCTCTGTGTGAAATAATTTGACCGTAAAATAAACATTTTAATGTATTTTAGGAAGGTACTTGAAAGATATTTCAGTCCAAAATTGGGTATCAAATCAAGTCTCATAACAAATCTCTTTATTTGTGATCAACACCTTACCTGTTAAATACTGACGTGATCAGTTTAAAGAATGCTACTAAAGCCCAACAAGGAGCAGAATCATCTACATACTTTAAAAGTATAGCACTTTAAAAAAAACATTTGAATAACATAATCTGAATACTAATTGATATGCATAGTATATTGTCATCAGCTGAATCCATTATTTATAAATCCAATGTATTTTTTTCTTACCAACTTTGTGTTGTCTCCATTTCCAGACAAAAAGGACAGCAGCGATCACAAACATGAATCCAAACAACACGCTAACAGCAACAGAAGCAGAACAACTAGAAGGGACTATGAAGAAATCATCTGAAACAATAAAAGACAAAACACCCTTTTATAAAACTAGACTTCATGTGAGACAGAATCATTGCAGGTGAAACTGCAGATATCTACCTGGAACATGGAATAGCGTCTGTGTGGTGCGGTTGGTGTTGTGGTGCTGGACTCTGCAGGTGAAGCTGCTGCTGGGTCTCTTCTCCACTGTCACTCTGCTGCTGACAGTATAGAGGTCATCAGGACCTCTGACTGTCTCTGGAGGTCCAGCAGAGAGGAGCTTTCCCTCAGCGTCCAGCCACAACACCTCAGGCTCCGGATACCAGCCTGCAGACTCACACTGCAGCACCACTCCTCCACTCTGACCGTCCAGCCCTGATAACCTGATGACAGGCGGAGAGGAAGGACCTGATGTGGAAAACAAAGCAGGAAGTGTTAGAGTTATTGAGTTATTAAGTTGTATTTCCACCCACATATTCATGTAAGAGTCTATGGGCTTGTTACTCCCTCATAGCGAGTGAGACCCAGGTGCCCCTCAATAAAAACACCTGTTTGCTAACCTGGCTCCAAAATGGTGGAACAAGCTCCCAATTGATATCACAACAGCAGAAAGTCTACATATATCCATTTGCAGACTGAAAGCCCACTATCCATTATCAATGCAGGTGATCATTCTATTGATTCCTTTGATCAGGCTAGATGCCTTACGGACATACAAGCTTGGATGACCAACTACTTTTGGATGTTAGACACAGACAAAACTGAAGTTTAATACTCTGCCCCAAACACCTTATCTAAAGAAACAGTTACTCTGGATTTGTTGTTATAATTCGTATATTGTTTTCAGTGATCAAACTACAAATAAACAACTAATGCACTTGCAGGATTACACCTATTGTGAGTTGCTTTTGAGAAAGGATTTGCATTAGATTGCTGCTATAGTTATAAATTCTAAAAGCATAGTTTTTTGAGTATTCATCCTCAAATAGGGAGGCGTGTGGTTCAGTGGGTTGTGCGTTGGTGTTCGGATCAGGGTTCAAACCCCACTGCAGTCAGCATGTCGTTGTGTCCCTGAGACACTTCACCCCAAATTGCTCCTGTGGCGACTGCCCACAGTATTGAGTATGTAAGTCCCTTTGGATAAAAGCGTCTAACAAGTGACATGTGATGTAATGTAATGTAAAATAGTAGTTTTCCAGTGTTATGGCTTAATGCCCTGCTGGAGAAAAAAAACGTTGTAATGAAGGGAAAACTTATGTCACTTTTGGCTTTCCATACCCCTCCTACTGCAAGGCTCTCATCTTCAAACTCTAGCAAGAACATGCGCTACACAGGAAACCCCTAAATTGCAAACAGCAGTTTTACAGTCTCCTGAAACTCCGAGATAAGTATAATTTTATAAAGTAGAGAAAAGAGTATGTCCCATTTGGCTTTCGATAAAACTTCAACTGCATTCCGATACTCTCGTCTATGAACTCTAGAGGGAAAAGACTAAGACTAAAAACCTTTCTTAGAGGTAAAAGTAAGGACTTTGCAAAACATGGATCATGACATACATTGCTCACTTACCAAAAACTAGTTGAACAAAAGCTTGCCGGTCCAGTTTTGGAATGAAACATCTGTATTTCCCCTGATCGGAGAGTTGTACGTTGGAGAGTTTCAAAGACATGTTTCCGTTCTTCAGCTCATCGGTGAACATTGAAGTTCTTCCCGTGAATAACTTGTGTTTCATTTCCACAAGTTCATGCCCAAGCCGCATCACATGAACGAATCTGGGGTCCATGTCGGGCCTCGTCCACTCCAACGTCAAATCGGCAACATTTATCGCCGGCTCCAGATAACACGGCAAAATGATGTCATCACCAAGGTTTGCTACTATTGGCTGAGGTGAGCCAATCAGCTGTGTCTGACCTGGAAATTCAAAGGATGTTTTATCTTGTCCAATAAAACGTCAGCACAGGGATCTTTCTATTTAACCGTTTTGATAGAAGACAGAAGAAACAGATGGGAATGTTGGTAGCCCTAGTGGTTACCCCATATAATTGCTTTATAGGCAACATATTTTTGGCGTCAACAAGTCCAAAATAACTTTTCAGGTTATACTGCATCTGGCCTTGTGACCTAACGTAAGCTTCACGACTAAATAAAGGTCGCTACAGCTTAGTGGTTAGAAGCAGGCTAAGTGATTAGCAACATCTCCCCTCTGAAACATTTTTGCGAAGTTGTATCGAGCCACAAATAACACTATGTCATCACAAAAAGCTTCACATAGATACAAGTCTGCAAAGAAAACAATCATGATATTGATAAACTGTATTCTCTCATTCTTACGGTTATTTAGCCTTTTCCTGAAAACAACATATTGTGGGGAAACACTTATCAAGCAATTCTTGCCCGATAATTATGAATATGAACTTACTCCCCTAATAATTAATAGTGACTTTTTAAGATTGTATGTTTGTGTTAGTTACCTCTACAGTGGTGTGTTAGGAGAAGAAGAAAAACCAAAACAGTGATTGTTCTGACATGAGATTTAAGGGGCTTTCCGTCTGTGTGGAAATCCATCATAGAGCGCTGGAACTGAACAGGAGAAATGTAAAGTGACAGGAGAAAAATCTTTAAAATGGTTATTTATAAGATATCACTTTTGCTGAAAGCTCCAATAAATTAAAAGTAAAACTTTGCTGCCGTCTTCTGTGTTCAACTTGTAAGTCACATACCATATTTCCTTATATTATATCCTAAAACACACCTGTGAGAGCAGCTTCACTTCTCAAATTGTATTTCTTCGTGAACTTCTCTTATAAATATAAACCAAGAGTGTACTTTCAATTTTCCACAGTTGTATTTGTCTGTTCATTGTTCACTAAAAACACCATTATACTTTCACTTTAGTAGCTTTAGAAAAGTGAATTTAAATGTGTTTAGAAGCTTCCCTATTTGTAAGATATTTTAGTTACACTTAATGCCATGTTACAAAGTCTAATATCTCGGAGACGTTAATAAAGGAAAGACTCTCTGTACACAGTTACCTTTTTAGTGTTAGGACCGCAGTTTTCCCTCCGACATAAACACGTGAACAATACTCTCTTTTCTTTTTCTTGTGCTTTAGAGAGACCCTAATTTAAAATGCAGACCCATTCTAAGAAATAATCTCTTTTGGATTTAATGTTCGACGAAGACCACATACCTGTTCTCTCTCTCTGCCTCTTCTGACTGCAAGGACAAAGCCTGTAAATCATTAATAGATCAGGCTCATAAAATAACATCTAATTCATTTCCTGCACTGAACTTCTGAGTAGTAGTCAGTGTGCTAATGTCTCTCCAACAGCAAGCAACATTTCTTGCTAAAGCTGAATAATAAGTTAGGGTTAAGTTAAAATTGAATAAAAGTGTTGTTATCTGAGTTTCACTCTGAGCGTCTTGCTTTATGAGCTTCTGAACTTTGGACTCAGTTGCTAGGTTATGAAATAATACACTGCAATACAATCTGTTGCAGTGGAACATTTATTTGAAACAATCCAACACCTTGAGGCTCATAAACACTCTCTGCAGCCAGTTACATTCATGAGGATCCGCATCAGTCCAAAACACACACCAATCAGGCAGTGACGGTCATTATGTTGATCCCAAAGTTTAACACCATTTGCTTGTCTTTGTTTACTTCTAGAAATAAATGATATGTCCGGGTATCTCCATAACAATCATTGATTTTATTATCTTCTTCTTTTCTTCTTTGCAAACAGCTACAGGTACATACACCACCACCTGGAAAACTGGAGGCTTGTGCAACCAGTACACATTCAAAGATTTGTTTAAGGAGTTAATATTAGTAATAATATTATTATAATAAAATAAATCATTTTGCACTTTGCTTGTGTGTAGATCCCGTATTTGCAGGAGTCATGCTCTCCTGAGATTGTAACTCCATGGCTGATTGCACATTTAGCCTCAGCTAAATGTAATGTTATGCAATTTACTAAAACTAAAATTACTAAAATAAATGTACATTAGTGAAGGCAGGAGGGTGAAGAGGGATGGAGGATGAAGAGGGAGGGTGAAGAGGGAGGTGGAGGATGAAGAGGCAGGTGGAGGGATGGAGGATGAAGAGGCAGGTGGAGGGATGGAAGATGAAGAGGGAGGTGGAGGATGAAGAGGCAGGTGGAGGGATGGAGGATGAAGAGGGAGGGTGAAGAGGGAGGTGGAGGATGAAGAGGCAGGTGGAGGGATGGAGGATGAAGAGGCAGGTGGAGGGATGGAAGATGAAGAGGGAGGGTGAAGAGGGAGGTGGAGGATGAAGAGGCAGGTGGAGGGATGGAGGATGAAGAGGCAGGTGGAGGGATGGAAGATGAAGAGGGAGGGTGAAGAGGGAGGTGGAGGATGAAGAGGCAGGTGGAGGGATGGAGGATGAAGAGGCAGGTGGAGGGATGGAAGATGAAGAGGGAGGTGGAGGATGAAGAGGCAGGTGGAGGGATGGAGGATGAAGAGGGAGGGTGAAGGATGAAGAGGCAGGTGGAGGGATGGAAGATGAAGAGGGAGGAGGAGGATGAAGAGGCAGGTGGAGGGATGGAGGATGAAGAGGCAGGTGGAGAAGCAATGTTGCGGGCCCTCAGCAGCCCGTGGCCCTCTCCTTGGAAACTGGTCTGTATGCCGGTTTTGGCATAACAGTGAGGTGGTCAGAGAGTCCGATGTGGGGGAAGGGGGAGCCTTGTATGCGCCTTTAATTGTGGTATAAACAAGATCCAGGATGCTGTTTTCTCTTGTTGGGAAATCAACATGTTGATATATCTTTGGCATGAACGTTTTCAGGTTTGCATGGTTGAAGTCCCCAGCGATGATGAGATGGCTGTCTGCTGATTAGCTCACAGAGTGCCTCCTCTCTGTCTTTGTTGTTACATTACATTGCATTTCATTTAGCTGACTGTTACGAACCCACTAGGGATGAGTAAGGTAACACACACCAGATGGTTTTGGTAAGTAATTATAATAGGGTTTTAATGAAATAACAACAAAAGGTGTACAACAAAAAGGGAGCAAAGGTAACCTAAGCTAAACAAAGAAGCCAAAAGGGCGCAGGTCTACTGCTAATAACAGAAAGAGGACTCTAAAACATGAGCCTATCACACCTGAGATCACTTCCAATCAGCACTAATGGAAGGAGCTGCAGGAAAACACAGCTAACAAAAGAAACTAAACACATCACTTTAAACACATATATCAACACTCGACACTAAGCACATATATCAACACTCGACACTAAGCACATATACCAACACTCGACACTAAGCACATATATCAACACTCGACACTAAGCACATATACCAACACTCGACACTAAGCACATATATCAACACTCGACACTAAGCACATATATCAACACTCGACACTAAGCACATATATCAACACTCGACACATATATAATCACACCAAACACAGTCTGTAGTGTCCACGACACAAGAGCATTTTGTATGAGGCGTCTGATCGCAGCAGAGCCTCCAGAGTGATAATTGTCCCCAGGCTTTGTAGTCATCTCCGGAAGGTGTGCTCTGGGATTGCACGGGGATTGGAGAGCGTCGGGCCCGGCGTGCTCCAATCAGTGTCTTCGGAGGAGGACCAGGAGATGACAGCCAACGACATTGGGGCAACCACACAGCTCATTTACATATTACACACACACACAGCTGCAAACAATCTCAGACAGGTTAACGAGCAGACAGAAACAGCAGCTGTAACACCTCCTCCCTTAAGACACAAAGGACTCTAAGGACTCTAAGGACTCTGGAGGACTCGGAGGACTCTGGAGGACTCTGGAGGACTCTGGAGGACTCTAAGGACTCTGGAGGACTCTGGAGGACTCTAAGGACTCTAAGGACTCTGGAGGACTCTGGAGGACTCTGGAGGACTCTAAGGACTCTGGAGGACTCTGGAGGACTCTGAGGACTCTGGAGGACTCTAAGGACGCTGGAGGACTCTGGAGGACTCTGGAGGACTCGGAGGACTCTCAGGACTCTGGAGGTCTCTGGAGGACTCTGGAGGACTCTAAGGACTCTGGAGGACTCTGGAGGACTCTGGAGGACTCTAAGGACTCTAAGGACTCTGGAGGACTCTGGAGGACACTTAAGGACTCTAAGGACTCTAAGGACTCTAAGGATTCTAAGGACTCTAAGGACTCTGGAGGACTCTGGAGGACTCTGAGGACTCTCAGGACTCTGGAGGACTCTGGAGGACTCTGGAGGACTCTAAGGACTCTGGAGGACTCTGGAGGACTCTTAAAGACTCTAAGGACTCTAAGGACTCTGGAGCACTCTAAGGACTCGGAGGACTCTGGAGGACTCTGGAGGACTCTAAGGACTCTAAGGACTCTGGAGGACTCTGGAGGACTCTCAGGAATCTGGAGGACTCTGGAGGACTCTGGAGGACTCTGGAGGACTCTTAAGGACTCGGAGGACTCGGAGGACTCTGGAGGACTCTAAGGACTCTAAGGACTCTAAGGACTCTGGAGCACTCTAAGGACTCGGAGGACTCTGGAGGACTCTGGAGGACTCTAAGGACTCTAAGGACTCTGGAGGACTCTAAGGACTCTGGAGGACTCGGAGGACTCGGAGGACTCGAAGGACTCTGGAGGACTCGGAGGACTCTGGAGGACTCTGGAGGACTCTGGAGGACTCTAATGGCGCATTTCCATTGCAGCGCGTAGCTCGCTTTAAGCGTGCCGTGTCGTGCCGTCCCCTTTTTTGGTTGTGCTTCCACTAGGCCTCGTTCCGGCGCGGCACGGCGCGGGGCCACTTTTTCCCCTCTTTTCTGGCCCTAGAAAATTGTGGTTCTATCGGGGCCAACAAACAGGGCTGAGTCGGGCTGAGTATGCTAAACTAGAGAGAGGAGCGCTGGCAAGAGGGCTAGAACTACAACAAGATGGACATATTTGACCGTGATTTAATTGTAATACACGTTTCAAAATGATGCCGAAGTAACAACATACTGATACCGGTTAGTAAAAACCATGAATTAATGCTTTGTCAAGTCTGCAGACAGACGGCAGGCGAAAAACCTTTTAAAATTCGTGTTTTTCTAGATGGAGATTGGCTAAGCTAACGCAGTATATGCTCCGACCGTCCACACTCACAACAACGGCCTATACAGACATAAATTAAGCAGCGACTGTATTCACCATGACACAGGCAGTCTGTGGTGTGTACTTGTTTAACTTTTGTCGAGTTTCTGAACATATATAAGGAGCTGTGAGCTCTGAGTGCTCACAGCTAACGGCTGTGTTGTGTTTCTGGATTTCTCATTGAAGATGACGTCACGGCTCCGCCTACACTGCGTTACTACCCAGTTCCTAAACTGTAATGGAAGCGCAGCATGAAGTGAGTCGGCCCTGTTAAGGCCCAACGCGGCCAAGCCGTACCGAGCCGTACCGAGTGTGGCCGAGGCCGACCGTGTAGTGGAAATGCGCCATAAGGACACTAAGGACTCTGGAGGACTCTGGAGGACTCTTAAGGACTCTGAAGGACTACCGGAATCATAAGGACTGATGTAACTGTGCCTGTCTATTCTGCTCCCTGTCCTTTGCCTCTAACTGGAGACGTGCGAGATGGACCTTTAGTTTAGCCCCCTCTCGGGAGTCTACGGAGCTACCAGGGGATAGGGGTTCATGGCAAGGCAACGTGAGCGGTGGTGTAAACCGCCCGTCGTCCTCACTGTCACCACCCTCTGCCTGAGCAGCTGAAGGCTCCGCCTCAAGCTTCTGAGTCTTCCCAGTTTTAGGCAAAGCATCAGACGGTACAGGCAGCACAAGATTACCCCTTTCCATCAACTCATCCACAATGACAGCCTTTAGATCTGCTTTTAATAATTGTCTTGCCCCAGTGAGCCTGAAGTGTTGAGCAATCTCTACCAGGTCTTCCTTACGACACTGATCTAGCTGCTCGAATGAAGGACAGATAAAAAAGGACTCCAAATTAAAAGATGCCATACTCAGGTGAACTGCACTCAAAGTGTTACCACTTAAACCCACTTATAACCCCAGAATTCAAGTGAAAAGATCCCGGAGGAGCCCCCATTTATGTTGTGAACCCACTAGGGATGAGTAAGGTAACACACACCAGATGGTTTGGTAAGTAATTATAATAGGGTTTTAA